GCCACAATACCCGGCTATTTTTTTGTTGGAGCCGTCATCATTGTTGTTTGGCAGGCCCGGGCTGAATTCGAACCCGCCACCTTAGGTGTACGTGGCTGGTGCCTTAGCCGGTTGAGCTATAGGTGCCGAGCCACTTTTTCCTTTCTTAAAATGTATGTGTATGTTTTTGTACCCCGTGTGTGCCTGTAATATTTATGTGTTATGCACATACTATATGTGTTAGATACACATACACAATGCTTCCTGTTTGTGGTTGTGTTTGCAGTTATGAATGTTAAAACTGAATGCCTGCTTGGTGTGTTTGGCTTGCTCACATCGTGAGAAAGCTCAAATATGTGCTACCTTTTGCATGAGAGAAGGATGCTAAAGTTGAATATCTATATTGTGTCATTAGAGGGAAATCATGGGGTGTTGAGCCCTTCCATGGTCACAGCTAAGTGAAAGGACAGTCACTGTGACCACTGGATCTATTTACTTATTGGGAAATGAGCTTTTAAATCCAGACAGCATAGGATTGTAAAGTTAGTACAGATGTGGGTAAGCAGGAAAGGGAGTGGGGGTGGTCAGCAGTGCTCAGAGGAGTGGGTTTGGGCAAAAGGGCACTCTAGGCAGAGGTGGCAGGATGTTTGAGGGAAGGAGCAGTGCTGTCAGAAAGTGAGTCCAAGATAGGCTCTCCTGGACCATGTGTGAGGGCACCAGTGAGCATTGTTTTACTTAGAACTGATTTTGTCCCTGTCCTTGACTCCTAGACACTACAGTGAGACTTGAGGGAGAGGTGAGGTGAGTGGAATAGATCTCCTGGACATAGTAGTCAGTCATGTCCTCAGTTAAGAGGTTGGAGCTTAAATAGCCGCAGGTTCGAACTGGGACTCTAGGTATTTCTTCAGTAGATGTGTAACCACCCACCAGGTGAGTAACAATACTAAACGCTTTTAAAATAAATGGTAATTATTAATAAACAGATGTTTCTAAGAAGTCACTTGGCATATGTATTTAGAAATAAAGGTAGCTCAGCAAAACTATGGAGATACATGTTGATGATTTTTGACTCTTAGTTATTGTGTGCTAGTCACATTTTAATATTTTTGGTCTTTTTAACTCTATAGAAAAACTTACAGATCAGGTGATGCAGAATCCACAAGTTTTGGCAGCTTTACAGGAACGACTTGACAATGTCTCTCACACCCCTTCCAGCTACATCGAAACGTAAGTGTGCTGTAAATAGGGCCTGATGCCACTTAAAGAAACAAAAGGAAAACAAAGAACCATTTCCCAGTTTCCCAGAGTAGGAGTATATATGTTTCCATTTCACAGAGGTTGCCTGCCAAGCCAGGCACTGGGATCGGAGATCGCTGCCCTGTGCTTGGGATCAGGGTCTGACTGGTGGGTGGAATGACATGGCATGTGGAGTTGTCTGGTGGGAAGTGCATGGTGCTGTCCAGTGGAGTTTTAGAGGACTTCACAGGTCATCTGAACTGGGTAGGACAAGGAGTGGCCAAGGACAACGTGGGCCTCCTAAGCTAGTTAAAGCAACCATTCTTCCTTGGCTTGCTAAGGAAGCAATACCAATGCTTTTGCCTTGTTACAAGAGGCCTGTGTCCTAGATGTGTGTATTGCATGGTGTACACAGTAAGGGTGTTTATTTTGGGAACCCAGGATGGCTCTTCTCAGGGCCCGCCTGTCTTCCTCCGGGAAGGCAGTGGGCTCCATTTACAGTGAGGTCAGGGCGTGGTCTCGTGGGCATTCCTGCGCTCTTCCCTACACAGGGCTTGTTGATGTCTCCCATGGCTGATATAATGGGGAAGGGACATTTGGGGTTTGCTTTGCCCATTTAGAGGATTTCTGGGGATAGTTAGTGTGTAAAAGTTTTTCAATATTTTTTTATAGACTAAATCTAGGGAATGTAGCAGTACTAGTGGAAGCTGTAGGAGTAGAGAGCGAGGAATGGCTTGCAGTTTTCTGGCTTTAGAAACTGGTTGGTGGAGGCTCGGCGCCTAAAGCTCAACCGGCTAAGGCGTCAGCCATATACACCTAAGGCGGCGGGTTCGAATCCCCAGCCCGGGCCCACCAAACAACAATGATGGCTACAACCAACAAAAAAATAGCCGGGCGTTGTGGCGGGCACCTGTGGTCCCAGCTACTTGGGAGGCAGAGGCAAGAGACTCGCTTGAGCCCAGGAGTTGGAAGTTGCTGTGAGCTGTAATGCCATGGCACTCTACCCAGGGGGACAGCTTGAGGCTCTGTCTCAAAAAAAAAAAGAGAAAGAAAAGAAACTGGTTGGTGGGGTGGCATTCATGGAGAGGAGCTGCAGGAACGGGAGCAAGTTATTGTGGGACTGGAATTGGTTCCTCATTGGCCGTATTATAGGAGAAGTACTGGAGGAATGAGGTGTGGTTGGTGTGAATGATGGGTGATAGGTAGGGGGGACACCAGGGACCAGTTTGTTTGGATCTTTTGTCTTTGAAAAACTGTAATTGTGTATTCAGTGCAGAAAGATAAAGTGTCCATGTGTGTCTTTCATTAAATTTTTGTGCTTTTTGGTTGTTCTCCTCTACTAGCAACAGTTCCTGAATCGTAAACATTAGTTAAGAGTCTTTGCTTAAGGACTTGTTAGTTTGAGGTAGCCATGGATATGATTAACCCAAGACAACGGTCCTTTAGGATTTAAGGCAGTTGTTCCAGTACTTTCCAAAAATGTGTGTGTGAGAGAGAGAAAGAGAGTTGCCTGGACTCTGCTGTGTATTGTTGGGGGATAAGTAAAACTGCTTAGTCTGGAGCCAGCCTCACGCTTCAGTGTCCATTCAGTCTGACCCGATGGCTCTCGGTCTATGATGAGCCCTGGAATCTGCTCTTCATTGCACATGACTATAACCAAGGGCTTTATTTTAAACAAATACTTTTGATGGGTTAAAAATCAGTTTTTCTTCTTCTGATTTTTAAAAGTAATGCATAAAAACTAAACAATTTTTTTAAAATACAGAACAATTAAAAGGCAAAGAAGAGAAAAACTTCCGAGTTTGTTTCTCAGATTTTCTTCCTTGGTATATTAATATTTCTGAACAGTGTGATTACAAACAGGATGTGTTTGAATACTGTTCAACTTGCCATTGTTTCCACTTTTTTTTTTTTTTTTTTGAGACAGAGTGCTGGGGCCTCAACTGAGTTCAGAGCAACACCAAACTCCTGGGTTTAAGGACTCCTCCAGCCTTAGCCTCCCAAGTAGTATAGGTGCCCATCATGACATCTGGCTAATTTTTTCCCCTATTTTCGGTAGAGATGGAGTTCTTGTTCTTGCTCAGGCTGGTCTTGAAGCCCTGAGCTCAAGAGATTTATTCTTTTTTTTAGAGACAGAGTCTCACTTTATTGTCCTTGGTAAAGTGCTTTGGCATCACAGCTCACAGCAACCTCCAACTCCTGGGCTTAGGCAATTTTCTTGCCTCAGCCTCCCAAGTAGCTGGGACTACAGGCGCCCACCACAATGCCCAGCTAATTTTCTGTTGCAGTTTGGCTGGGGCCAGGTTTAAACCCACCACCCTCGGTATTTGGCACCAACGCCCTACTCACTGAGGCACAGGCACCACCCTGACCTAAATTTATTCTAATAAAATTAAAAAGCATGTTGCTGGCCCAATGTGGTAGCTCAATGGTGGTAGCCTATAATCTTAGCACTCTGAGAGGCTTAGGTGGGTGGATTACTTGAGCTTTGGAGTTTGAGACCAACCTGAGCAAGAGTGAGACCCCTATCTCTACTTAAAAAAAGAAAAACTAGCCAGGTATGATGTCATATGTCTGTAGTACCAGTTACTTGAGAGGCTGAGGCAGGAGGATCACTTGAACTCAAGAGTTTAAGGTTGCTATGAGCTATGATGCCATGGCATTCTACCCAGGGTGACAGAATGAGACTCTGTCTCAAGGAAAAAAAAAGCATGTTGTCTTACTTTGCAGGCATAAAGATGTTGTATTTACTATTCCCTCTTTTAGTTTACCTAAAGCAGTAAAAAGAAGAATTAATGCATTGAAACAGCTTCAGGTGAAATGTGCTCATATAGAAGCCAAGTTCTATGAAGAAGTTCATGACCTGGAAAGGAAGTATGCAGTATTATACCAGCCTCTCTTTGACAAGGTGGGGAGTTCTGTCTATAATTATAGTATACAAGTGCTCATTGACTTACCATGCTATAGGAAGGTGAAGATATCCTAAGTCAAAAGTGCATTCTGTACACCTAACCTACCAACATCATAGCTTAGCCTAGTCTGTCTGTTTTTTGAGACAGAGCCTCAAGCTGTCCCCCTGGGTAGAGTGCTGTGGCATCACAGCTCACAGCAACCTCCAACTCCTGGGCTCAAGTGAGTCTC